TATGGCTATCAGGAGCTATTACGGAAGTAATATACAGGGGGGGCCAAAAAAAAAAGACATTTTGCCTATGTCGGACTTCGGCTCTTTTTTCTTCGCAGAGATTGCTGTCGTTGACGGGAGTTCCTCAGCAGAGTATTCCCTAAGTGTTCCTCTATTAGTGTACGCAGGCTCTCCTTCACTGCCCTCACCGTCTTCAGAATATGACGTCATCTGTCACCGTCGTCAGGCTCAAGGAGGTCTACCGTAAGAGCTTCAGCCTGAAGCTCTTACGCAATTTCGTGAATCGATTTAATGTTGGATAGTTTTCTAGAGGCATTAGCTACCACTGTGCAAATCCCCTCGGAACTAGCTTTCCAGTAAGGGTCGTTATGGTACACGATCCTTCGAAGACCCCATTGAGATCGACCAGTGCACCATGTTTCCAGGGCTAATTCTTCTGATGCCGTCCACGTACGTGGCCACTATGAAGATTTTCTTATAGAATGGAATGCACTCTTTAATAATAAGTTGGAACCGTTCGGTCTGAGTTGAGTAAAATGTGCTTAAATCCATCTGGAAGTGGAGGCAAAATGTCTTTTTTTTTTGGCCCCCCCCCCCTGTATGTAGTATCCCTCAACCACCCGCTCCCCATAAACGATTACAAATTGTGTGCTGATCGTTGCTATGGGTCTGATGTTACTCGCTACCGCCTTCTATGGAACATACTCGGTGAACTTATTGCATTTATGATCACACGCATCATCAATGGCACTCCCCTCAAAATTAAATGTATCCTCACCTGTGCCGCCATGGCTTCGCCTTGTATAGCCTGCTGTTGTGTGACAAACTCGCCGGCAGGCTGCGGCGGCTGAGCCGTGAACTGCTCAAAGGCAGGTCGACTCATCTGACACGGACCCCTCTAAAAAATCGACACTACAACGGAAATAGTAAGGAATAAACTATAGAGCGACTTCACCGATTTCACCACAACATCTAAAGGAAACAATAATGAGCAGTTATAAGTGTCGCTACTCTAAAAAATGATCTATAAAGGAAAAATGTGCACCCTCGTTCAAACACATTTAAGTGGGCGCGTATCGATCAATGTTGGGCACGGTGCCAGCTTCGGCATTACGGTGCCAATCCGCGCAAGACTCGCTTCCTAGAGCATCGCTGCTGAGCCCCGCCCCCAAAACCGTGCCAACTACCTTTCGAACCTAAAAATCTATAAATCTTTGAGATTTCGCGCGTTTTTTCGTTTATTTGCTTCATTGCGTTATTTATCGTATACGATTTTTTCGGATGAATTGATCCAGTGTAAGTAATTTGCTAGAGGTGAAACAGATAAAAAATATTACAGAAAAAGACGAGGCGTTTTCTTTTTGACATTGTGAAACGCGCTGTTGACTACTTTCTGGCGTTTGGAAGTTAAATGGTTCATGTGTAAAGGAGAAATAATTCACTGATGATTTTGAACCATAAATACAATTTCTTATTTACTGGCTTATACGCTCGGGCATCTTGTAATCGATCAGGATAGTGCATTTGGAGTTCGCCGCCCAATATTTTTTTCCTTAAGCGTTTCTCCGAACATTTGACTTATAAGGATAAGTAGTACTGGCTTAACAAGTTGGCTCATACTGTACGGATTCTATTAATTTTTTCGCTTGGAACGCTTTGCGTGGGTCAATTGGGTTTCATACTTGCTAAAAGTTTTTTTCTTGGGAAAATATTCATGTTGATACAGCATTGATGCAGAAGCAAGTCGCAGGGATACATATATCCATATGGCTTTGCATTCTGTTTTAGAGTGGACTTTAGCATGTTGGGGTTTTACTTCTAACTGTTTTCATCCAAGTTTTGCTTTTTTAAGTGTTAATTTATTCCAAACTTTCGTTCTGATCACAAATTCTGTTGTTAAATATAGAAATTTCCATCCACGCTCCAGTCAAATAGCTAAATAGCTCGAGTGTTACTATGGATTTTGCTCAGGTTTCATTTGTTGGCCTAAGTATATTCTTATGTCGATCCACCAATTTTAGGTAGTTGTGCTATCAGAAGGATGAAAATGAATGTGGTCGATGACCTCGTAATTCGATCCGAACCAGCTTACACTGAAGCCGATCCCACTCCTGACGGTGAGTGCGTTATCTGGCCTCGTAACCATTTGCTTTCATTGCACTTATTTTCAGCAATTGGTCTTGAGTTTGTGCGTCAATATTACACAATTCTATCCAAGTCTCCCGGATGCGTGCATAAGTTCTACAGCCATGAATCGGTATTCGTGCACAATGACGTAACCGTGATAGGACAGCAGGTAATAGATCGTCATTATTCTAGTAACTTTTCTTGGGAAGGCGGATTATTTTCCTTTTCGTTGGAACTTCATATTGCTCAGCCCTCTGATGATAGGTACGGTTTGCCATTGTAATGACCATTCTGTATTCTCAGAGCTTTTTTTGGGAATGTGACATGAGCACGTTGATTATTTTTTCGTGCTTTATACGCAGCTAGCAGTTTCTTTAGTGATATTCCTATTATACTCTCCTTTATTCTTAACTTATCCCAAACTTGCTGTGTTTGCAGAAGATCAAAAATTGCATCGAACAGCTGGTGGAGGCAAACAATAGATTCAAGATCCATTCTGTGAAGGTAATCTTTTAAAACTGTATATTGTTTTGTAGAGATACAGTTGAAATTTAATTGACGGCTAAATCTTTTCTTTGGCTATATGGATTGAACTCTCGGCAAACTGCTGAGTCTCTGGCACTTTGCTTATGCTGCAGTCAATGCATGGTTTATTGCTGATAGCATAAAAAACTGTTAAGTCTAAATCCGCAAGTCTTCGATGGCACCTTTTGAAGCAGTGTCATTGTGTGTGTTCAAATTTTCTTATGTTCTTTCTTTTTTCTATTGTTCATTCTGTTATAGCGCGATGTCCATGTTCAACTGGTGACTACACTCTGTTTGGAATGAGATTTTCTTCATATTCTCCTCTCTATATGTTTTTCCAGGGATCGTTTACATCTCATAAGGGGATCGTCCTGCAAGTTTGTGGCGAAGTCGCCACTCGTCGCTTCTTCCAAACGTTCATCTTGGGACAGCAAAGCGCGAAGAAATTCTATGTGCAGAACGATATCTTCCAATTCCTAGATGTGGCATTCCATAGTGAATCGCAGGGTTCTCCAGCACCTGCAGCTCCTAACGAGGCCGCTGTCACAGAGGTTTTCAATCTTTTTAACTTTTGATAGCACTGTCATAGTTTTTGGCATGTCTCTTTATTCTTTGAAGTGATACAGCCAAGTTTTGTTGCGCCTAACTATCCTATTACAGGCACAGTCGGTTGATATCGATCTCGTACAAAATGGCCACAATCATTCTCATTCGTCGATAGCCCTTAGTTGTGAGGAAACGCCTATCCTAACAAGTGTTGTTTCTCATGCAAAGGCTAGTCCAACCAAAAACCCACCTGCACTGGCAACTGAAGGTGGGTGTTCTTTCAGTTTTGCTTCCTTTCTGCGGTATTGGAATTTTTCACTATTTTTTAGAAACGTGCTTATTCCTCGAATTAGTCTTAAATGTTAAAATACTCCCTTATATTCGTTCACACTAATTCGCAGTTGGCCACTCTATGGAGCGCTTATCCTGTTAGTTTTAGCCCCTCAAGGAGTAATGCTTTCAAGAGCTGTGTGCAAACCATCACTGTTTCTCGGAAACATCGTTCCGTGTGTAGCTCTTGTGAAAGT